GGTTCTTCCCTGAACTCTTCGACTTGCGCAGCTTGCACGTCGCAAGGCGCAGCAAGCCCCACAAAGCTTCCCACAAGGCCCTCGGAAAAGACTTTTGGGTGCCATCATAGAACATGTCGCAACACAAGGTACCTAGTAGGTACCTAGTAGCATTGCCTTGCCATCCATCGCAGCCTCAGCAAAAGCCTGACCTCAAATCATGCGCAGGCTTGGTCCGTGGGCGCCAGCTGAGCCCAGTCCGCATGTCACCTTGTCGAATCGTTAGCACGTTGTTTGCTTGATTTTCTTTGCGGCTGGATGCAGGCATATGCAAGCTTGGGCAGCTTAGACACATGTCTTCTCGACCCCCACAGCTGCAGTCGCAGAGTGTAAGCACGGCGCAAGACGCTGAGGTATTCTGCGCGTGACGGAAGTCCAGTTCTCATTTACCGCGCAGGACTGGCAAACCTGAATCTGGGTTGATGAAAAATGGGGGAGGAACTGTGGTAGGATGCCAATAAAGATCCACATATGTGCTACTTCTATTTCGACTATGTTCCAATTAGCTAGGCACTGCAAGAACCGCGTCATGGGTCATATTGCTTTTGACCCCTGTATAGTTCAGGCATGATGAAGCCACGTGTGAGTATGCCAGTGCAGCCGCCTTCTACGACGGTTCCTTTGCAGCTTGGCTTCGTGTCTTTCGCCGTGACTGTTATTGACTTGTTGATCCCTGGTGTGCTACATCAGACACCTGCTGTGGCGAGGTGAAGCCCACAACGGGCACCCACACAAGCGCATGACGACAAGTGCCTTTTCGTGAGTGCAAGCTGTGCTTCCTATGCGGACAATTGAAGCGATTCCTGCTATGTATCTTAGAATGTCAGTGTAAATGGACCGGCTGCTTGCCATCTGGCTGTCTTTCGACACGTTAAAGACACCAGGGCTCAGGCAACGACAGCAACTGCATTTGCTGTTTGATAGCGTTGTGATGGATGTCGTCATGGAAGGTTCCTCTACTATTCACTTGGGGGCACGTTCTGGATAAGAATGCACGCAAGAATTGGGCTTGCCCTGGGCTGCGGCTACGGTCACTTTGGACGAAGCACCTTCAAAACATTCTGTCGTGGTTGCAAGACCCCACATGCCGGCACATCAGCCTCTTCCCGTACAAGAGCTTTTCCATGCACTGCTTTCTGTAGTATTTCGCCGCACAGGACAAGACCAGCCAGAGTACTTATGTACAGAGCCAACGAGTGGGCGTCAGGGCCCTGTAAGATTAAGAAGAGTTCAGGTGGCGGCGCGACAATCCGAAAATAATCGGGCTGCTTGCCCCTAGTTGATGTTGGTGGGTGTACCTGCAGCGTTTCCTGGCCGTTATGCAAAAAACACACGTGACATGCATGACATGCCAACTGTCTCATCGTTGTGATGTGTCTTGTGGCCTATCTCTTCTCTATCTCTTCTAGGACAAGTTCTCGAATCGCAGTTTTGGGGCAGCATGAGGTCCAAATTCGGTTCAATACGGGGAGCGGTTGGGTTTGACATATTTTCCAGAACCTGTTTTCATGTAAAGTTGTGCGCTGTGCGTTCCCCACCCCCCACCTGCCCTGCCTGCCCCGCGGTTGCAACCTGTCGGCTTTTCGAGTGGCGATAGCGCTGCATGTCATTGCAAACTGCAAGGGTCAGAGAGGGTTTGTCATCTTAGTACCAGCCGTGAAATCTAAGGCTCACCGTCGAGCCATCATGCTTAGTCTAAAGTTGAACAGAAACAGCCATCAACAGGTCGCTACTGGACGCATGTAGAGAATGTAGATGCATGTGTCATTTTTCAATGCTGGTTGCTTGCTTTTTGGGGAGGGTGTTTAACAACAAATCAGGTAACATTTGACACTGACTGCTTCCCGCCAGTTCGCCTTCCCAAAGAAAGTCCCTGTTCCCCTGCTCTGGAACGATGCCGGCAATGACAGCATGGCCTTCATGAGCCCCAGTCGCATGGGACTGTGGTTACGGGTGATGCCGTCATAAAATGGGACAAAATGGGCAACAATTGTTGAGTGGGTGTTGATCCTTCTAGGGCCAGGATATCTCATGGCCACTAGAACGGTTGATTTCAGAACAGGGGAGTCTCCATGATGCTTGGATGCCGCCCCTGCAAAAGGTGTTCGTGTAAAGACCCATGTTTGACATATGTGAGCCAAGTTGAGTTTTGTGGGGAATGAGGATGGTTTTGCCAAGTATGTATTTAAATTCATTAAGCTGGAACTGGTAATTCCGATAAACCATTGAACGATGATGTCCAGATGTTTGCAATTTCACAATTTGGGCTCGAAGCATAAACTATGGAAAATGTGATTTTCGATTGCTGTCTGATGGATGTCACGGAATATTCACATCTGTTTGCTGAATGGTCGGCGTGAGACGCTGACAGTCCTGCAATCTTCCAAAGTAGGAGACTTGAGGATTCTGGCCCAGAAATCCTTTCTGCTCAAAGGCTACGTGAAGCTGGTTACAGCAGAAGGCCACGTTTTGGCTGATCCTGAGCAAAGTGTGCAAGATGCGGGTCTGCATGAAGGAGACACCATCACGGCCATCGTTCAACAAGTCCAGATAGCCGCGGCATCGAGTGCTTTTGCTTTGTGGTGCTCTGGAGGTGACAGTTTGGTGACATGGGGCCATCCACGTGGCGGTGGTGACTGCTCCGCAGTCCAGAATCAGCTTAGGCAGGTGCAGCAGGTTCAGGCAACAAGCCTTGCATTTGCTGCGATCACTGGAGACGGTTCAGTCGTAGCATGGGGTACTCCAGATCGCGGTGGTGACATTTCCGCAGTCAACCATCAGCTTCGGAACGTGAAGCGGGTTCAGTCCACATGTGCTGCATTTGCTGCGATCCTGACAGATGGCTCGGTGGTGACATGGGGCTCTCCACATGCTGGCGGTGACAGCTCTGCAGTCCAGCATCAGCTTCGGAATGTACAACAGATTCAGGCCACAGCAGAGGCATTTGCTGCGATCCTGGCAGATGGCTCGGTGGTGACATGGGGCAGTTCAGGTTTTGGTGGTGATTGCTCTGCAGTCAACCATCAGCTGTCGAATGTGCAACAGCTTCAGGCCTCGTCATGTGCATTTGCGGCGATCCTGGCAGATGGCTCAGTCGTGACGTGGGGTAGTCCAGAGCATGGTGGTGACAGTTCCACAGTCCACCATCAGCTTAGGAATGTGAAGCAGATTCAGACCACAGGCCTTGCATTTGCCGCTATTGTGGCAGATGGCTCGGTCGTGACGTGGGGTACTCCTGTATTTGGTGGTGACAGCTCCGCAGTCCAGGATCAGCTTAGGAACGTGAAGCAGATTCAAGCCACAGGCGCGGCATTTGCTGCAATCCTGGTGGGTGGTTCTGTGGTGACATGGGGCAATCCACTGGAAGGTGGTGACAGCTCTGCAGTCCAGCATCAGCTTCGGAATGTGAAGCAGGTTCAGGCCACGCGGCAGGCATTTGCTGCGATCCTGGCAGATGGCTCGGCGGTGACATGGGGCTCTCGACATGCTGGTGGTGACAGCTCTGCAGTTCAGCATCAGCTTCGGAATGTAGAACAGGTTCAGGCCAATGTCAATGCATTTGCTGCGAACCTGGCAGATGGCTCTGTCGTGACATGGGGCAGGCCAGACAATGGTGGTGATAGCTCTGCTGTCCTCCATCAACTGAAGAATGTGCAGCAGCTTCATGCAACAAGCCTTGCATTTGCTGCGATCCTGGTGGATGGCTCTCTTGTGACATGGGGCAATCCGGAAAGTGGTGGTTGCAGCTCCGCCATCCAGGATCAGCTTCGGAATATATAATGGTTTCAATGCCACATTTGCCGCGAACTTGGCAGATGACTCAATCAACCGTGCGATCCAAAAGAGCGTGGACGCACGGAAAACATTTGCAAATGATTAGCGCAGGAAAAATAAAGAACGACAATGTCAATTCGCTAGGCCATACAGCCCATTACCATCTCCAATTACCCCCAGGATCTCAATGTCCCATCATAATCAGGGTAGAAAAAAAGAAGCCATCATCTTCTACTATCCATACAGCTCAGTCTCCCCCCGCACACCGACATCGGCAACGAGGCAGACAATCGCATCTGATTTACGTGGATAAATATCCGGCCTAATCCAAGGTTCTCTTATTCGGATATTGACAATATTATGGATATCGACGTATGATATCGAAATCAGATATCTGTATTCTGATAATAGGAATAATCATTCTTAAATTATCGCATTCTCCCTCAAATTGAGGAAGTAGACATTTGATTTATAGACAAGCAGAAACAAAATTATCTCTCTTGGACTTTAGACGATCAAAAAATATCCCCATAAAAGACTACGGGCTCGACCCCTATTTTCGCTCTGTGGCCGCCCTGTTGGATGCCCCGCCACCTCTTCCGGTCAATTTGGTGCTTGTGGGGGCCTTGCATGGGGATCCGGAAAATTCCGGTAATTTCAGGATTATTCTCCAAAAATCCTAGGACTTTTGGGAATCCCCTGGACCCGAAAATTTCGGGAGTTTTTGGGATCCCCCGCGTTCAGTTTAAGGGTTTTACGGTATGGCGTTTTGGGGTTTAATAGAAATTGCATAGGGTTTGTGTCCGGAGTTTTGTCGTGTTTTGGGTGGCTTTGTTTTTTGCTTTTGCTGTAATGGTTTGGGTTTTGTCGGGTGTGGTGGGGCTGCGGAGGGGCTGGGGCTGAAAGGCTGGGGTTTCGGCCGAGGGCGCTGGTGAAAGGCTGGAGGCCGAGGGCCGAGGCTGTGGCTGAGGGGCTAGGGCTGAGGTCGGGGCTTTAGGGCTTGGGTTGAGTTGAGGAGGAGCTGAGGAGGGCTTAGGAGGGGGTGTTTAGGGGTTGTTCAGGGGCTGGGGAGGGTTTGAAGGGAGGGGTTGTTGAAGGGAGGGATTATTGAAGGGAGGGGCTATTGAAATGAGGAGTTATTGAAGGGAGGGGCTATCGAAGGGAGGGATTGAGGTTATTGAGGGGCCGTTGCAGGGTTGTTGTAGGGTCATTGAGGGCTTGCTGAAGGCTGTTGAGGGTTGAGGATCCTTGCATTTTGTTCGGTTTTGTGGGGTTATTTGGGGAGGATTTGGAGCCGGGGTTGGCGTTATAATTTAATCGG